TCTGGGGCTCATGAGCAGAATACTTCCCGAGCAGACGTAGGTCGGGCCTCAATGTGGCCACGTGGAATTTCTCTAATTACACTAAACTATTTGGGGGAGCGTTCTATACTACGGCCAGTCGACCGGGAGGATATTAGACGGACCTCACTTACCTATATCCAAGGCGACTGGTCCCTCCGGAGTCGGTCAGGTCGCATGTGGTTGTGTAGTGCAAGGAAAATAAGGTGATGTGATGTGTATCTGGGTGTGACTGATGGTGATTGACCCTAGACCTTGGCCGTCGGCAGCAGCCCGGGCGTCAACACCGCTCCAAATTGAGGGAACCTTCCGCGGCGTTGTCCGCAGTCACTTCCCTCTTTCGTCACGATGGCAGTCAATTAACTCTATCGTACGATTAACTAACTTACAGAAGCCACTAACCCTCGCTGGGTATAAGGTAAACGCACAAAACGCACACGGAGTTTCCGGATCAAAGGTCACTACCGTTTCGCGTAGCAACAGTTATTTCTAGAATATCAAAGGCCGCACTAGCTAATATTGCCGAATGCACTTATGCAGATTCTGAGTCAGACACAATGAGTCCCTGGGAAGCTCTCCAGCAGGGATGCACGTCACAAATCCAAGACCGTATATTTACTGTCCGCGCCTAATTATTCCGAGTTCCCGATAAAAATGACAGCGTGCTAACGTTAGCACCGCTGACAGACGACTCTACTGCACCTTTACGCGTTCTCAACCCCACCGCTCAAGCGACGTCAAAACCGGTATGGCACCGAGCGTCGCGCCCCCTAGACGTCGATTCCGACAACAGCGTTTGGCGCGAACAAACCTCCGTCCCGGACATAAGGATTTAGGTCCGCGAGCAAACCGGTCAGCGGGACAAGGTCGCGACGGCAAGTTGCAAGACCGAATATACAACCAAACTAGGCCACCTTAGGCACCCCATCAGATCTTGCAACCCTAACCAACGCCTCAAAATTACAGCCCCAACGTAAGCAAGCCGGAGGGTTGAACTGGATGCCCTTCCTGGACATCGCAGCCCATAAATAAGTCCTATTCTGGACAGAAGTCCGAGGTCCTCTTTCAAACAACTATCTGTGCCCCTACGATTAGTTCCGCAATCCGACCGGATCAGGTCTGCAAACAGCGACGCGACAAGAAGCGGCCCAGAGCGGCCTCCTAAGCTTCAGTGCAGGGAGCACCCACAAATTCCACATGAACGTCGTCTGTGGAGAGCCGAACGAAACGCACAGATAGTCCCTAGTATGAATTTTCAACAAGTAGGTCTAGCCAGGCCACCCACCATATTATCATTTACTAAAATAGTGCGGCAGCTGATTTCAATCTGATAATCTCCAAAACTAGCTAGCCTGTTAGACAAGCAGTCCTATGCTCATATTTCAACTAATTTTTCAAGGCATCAATGTTCAACTACAGAATCAATTCAACCTATACGTATCTATACGTGGTAGAGCCATGCTGCAGCTATATTATGGTTGTAGCACGAATGGGTCGGCTCGACCGGGGAAGGACCAAGCACTCACAGAATACCAGCGTAAAATAGCAGCTTAACGCTGCTGTGTTTCGTATGGTGAGTGTAGAGAACCGGAGACCCTTTTTACTGGAAATGAGGCATTCCATCTTAGTCCTCACGGGTGACAACGCATCTGCATTTTGATTCGTAATCGAAGATATATGTAGATGTCTATGGGCCGCAGCAACCACTTACCATCAGGTGGACTGTGTGCTCGTTTGTCAACCTTATCTTATAAAAAAAAAACAAATTAATCACCGATGCACATAGGTCAACATGACAAATTAAACAAAACAATAACGTAAGAGACAGCCCTATTTCTCATTTACGTAACTTAGACAGTGCCAACAAAATGTAAACCAAAGGAGAATTGACTTTTATTTACCTCGGCACAAATAGGGTTATCTAATTTCAGCCTTCCTCTTCACAAAGCAAAATGATTAAACACTATCACAAACATATACATAATTTTCCAAATAGCGCGACATTCAATTTCAAATGGATTCAAATTTTCTTTTCAGCAACCAGGCGCAACAGTCAAATGCAGTGATTAAATATATTTACAAAACATATGCAGCAGCATTTAAAGGAGTAGATTAAATTCAATTCTTTTAATCACACCCGCTACAAATACAAACTACAAACACTGACTATATGAAACAAAGCAACATTGAGTTTTTATTTTACGCTGATATTCTGTGAGAGCGTAGTCCTTTCGCGGTCGAGTCGATCCATTTGTACTACTACAATCGTAATATCCAATTTCAAGACTTAAACTAATTGTTTCACGTAATTAAAGTAAACTTTGAAAGCAACGAGGTTTTATTTATAAAACCCTTAATTAATAACAAGAGAAGAGAGTAAGGTGCCAATTAAAATTCAAATATTATTGCTTGTTTCTTTCCTGGTATTGGATTTTTCAGTGACCAAACTATCTCTCTATTTCGGGAAAATCGCTTCCATTTCCCAATTTTATTATAAGCTGGCGACCCGTCCCGGCTTCGGCTGGGTAGGATCTACTAACGAAGCGTTTTTTAGATTTAAGATAGTTAAAGATCATTTATTATATATATTTTGTTTTTTTTTTCTCTAATGAATATAATACAAAATACTCCAAGTTTTTCGGATATAATAATAATATAGTCTAGATCACTCCTGGCATTGCTCTTTATCTTTTTCCTGAATTTTCATTACAACCGGTTCAGACATACCCAAAATTAGCCCGGATAGACATGCAGACAGACAAAAAAAATACTTTATATAAATAGTGATTCATGTCTTAATGGAATTCAAATAACCCCTTCAGCTCAATAATAGGCACATTTCACTTTTATTTATATGTTTTTTATAGGATAGGGTGACAAACGAGCACACAGTCCACCTGATGGTAAGTGGTTGCTGTGACCCATAGACATCCACATCTATCCGAAAATAAGAATCAAAATGCAGATGCGTGAGGTCTAAGATGGAATGCCTCTTTTCCAGTTAAAAGGGTCGCCGGTTCTCTACACACACCATGCGAAACACAGCTGTGTTAACCTGCTATTTTACGCTGGTATTCTGTGAGAGCGTGGTCCTTTCCCCGTCGAGCCGACCCATTCGTGCTACAACCATAATATAGCTGCAGCATGGCTCTACCACGTAGAAAATTTCGGTCGGCATGTAGCATGCCCACAAATCGGTCACTTCGTGAGCCAGATATTTTGTATCCTTTTGCTGCTTTCACGAGTTTCTATTCATAAAGCAAACAAAAATCAAAATCCCACGCTTAAGAAAAAAATCTAAATAATTTCGAGAATTCTATAATAATTTCTCCCTGTAATAATATTTAAACATTTTTCATTTTGTATGTAAAACTGCTCCATGCATTCGTGGCCATAAATAACCAATGGCGACGCAGCTGCAAATATGCATTTTATTTCTCGAAACGATGTCAAATCTTACTGATTTGCCAAACCGAATACAAACTATTCCATATTGTTAATTCATTGTAGTATTAGCATTCATGGACACTGTGTAAAATTATAACGTTAGATGTTATATTCATAAAGAGCACGAAAAAATTCAGCTGTAGTATACGCAATTGGAGCAAACTTTAATAATAATAGTTAAAGCTCATTCATATTTTTGTATATAGAGATAGAGCGATGAATGTAACGTCCTATTCTTGTACAAATACAGAAGATTCAGAAAATACCTTCGATGAGGGCAAGTCGCAGTGCCGTGGGACGAAGCGTCGAATAAAACACTATTTACTGTTAGACGAAGAGCTCCTTCTTTTCGGCGTTTCCACGACTGAGATAAGCGTCACCTGCGCCATTGTCATTTTGGACGTCTCTAGAAATCACTAAATGGCTACTGAGGATACTGGAACAAGGCCACGTCTCCCGCCAATAATAGCCAATCAACATATGAGAAGTTAACTATGATGCACGTGCAGACCGTTGGGTTAATCATGTAGAGCTAGAATTTTCAACTTTCACGCCGCCGTAAGCGCGGCTAAGATAGCCTGGTGAGACACCGTTTCGAATCTAGAATCCCATCTAGACTAACTTCAATCAGGCGGCAACAATACTTATGTTGTGGTTTCGGTGTGGTGCTCAACATAACTCTGTCTTAGTAGATTTGTGATGTCGTTCACAATGACTATAATCAGACTCCGATACATTGAACGGCTATCTGAACCTCTGGTAGATACTTACAAGGTATTATTCATCAAAGGAGTAACCCGTATACCCCTGAACAAAATGGCTTGTCAGAACAGAATAATCGAACAATTGTACAGAAAGCCAGATGCTTATTATTTAATCCAAACATAAGAAAACAGTTCTGGGCAGAGGCTACCACTACTGCTGTTTATTTACAAAATCGTGCTGTTCTTTCTGCATTGAATGAAAAGACTCCTTATGAAGTCTGGACTGGACGCAAACCAAACATTAGTCACTTGCGAATATTCCGAAGCAAGGTCATGGTTCATGTTGCTAAAGAGAAGCACCAGAAATGGGATAGAAAGTCAGAGGAGCACATACTGGTGGGTTATCCAGATGATATTAAAGGTTACGGAATGTATAACCCCAGAACAAAACGTGTGACAACAAGCAGAGATGTTGTAGTAGTTAAAAATTCATGTTAAGTGGGGGACACAATTGTCAAGGATAGACCAAGTTCAAATGAAATAACTATGGATGAGAATACACTTATAGAAACATCAGATGATACTTATATTCCTAGTGAGTATGAAGATGCTTATGACTCACCGGAGCAGCGTGTCAGACCTAGCAGAATCAGAATGAAACCAGAAAGGTATGGAATGTCAAATATATGTATTCCGGAGGATGTGTTTGATGATGCTAATGGATTATGTCTAGAAGAAGCACAACAAGAAGTAAAAAAGGGAGAGTGGTAACAGGCAGTGAAAGAAGAACTTAATTGTTTTGGGGACAATTATGCGTGGGAGTTAGTACATATGCCAAAGAATAATGAAACTGTAGTGAAGTGTAAGTGGGTGCTGCCTAAAAAGATGAACATTGATAATAGTGTTCGCTACCGTGCCCGTTTAGTAGCTAAAGGCTATATGCAGAAGCAAAATGTGGACTACTCAGAGATCTTTTCGTCTGTAGTAAGGTCATTCAACTTTGAGATTACTCTTTGCATTATCTGTAAACTTGATACACATCTTGATGCCACTGCAGCATTCTTGAATGGGGACCTTGAGGAGACAATTTATATTGAAATACCAGAATGCTTATCCAATTCTCAAAATAACTATAATAATAAAGTACTTAAACTGAATGAAGCTATTTATGGTCTAAAGCAATCCTCAAGGGCCTGGTACAAGAGTGTTGATGAATGTCTTGTTGGCAAATGGTTATAAACGCTCCAAACTAGAACCATGTTTGTACACTAAAATTAAGGATAAAAGGAGAATAATAAAAACATTGTATGTCGATGATTTCTTTGTGTTTACAAATAATGATTTTGAAGGTAATAATTTAAGAAAGGTATTGTCTTCAAAATTCCAATTGAAGGATTTAGGACAAGTTAAAAATTGTTTAGGAATGACTTTAAATATTGATAAAATTAGTGGCACTGTTACATAGAGCCAAGATAATTATATTAATCAGTTATTAGATTAGATTCAACTTGACAAATTGTAAGCTAGCTGATACACCTTTAAAGTCTAAATTGAATATTAATTTAGGATATAAAAATTGTGATAGTCAAATACCTTATCAGAAACTAATAGGTGGGCTCATTCAGTATTAACCAGGCCTGATATAGCATATTCAGCAAGTTTCCTTAATCAATTTAACAATTGCTATGATAATGTAACTGGGGCTTATGTAAAAAGAATTTTAAATTTTTTAAAAACGACTACATATTATGGGTTAAAATATACTAAATGTTGTAATGATAAATTAGAAGCGTATATTGATGCAGATTGGGGAAACAATATTATTGACAGGCGCTCTTACACAGGTATGTTTTTCAAATTAGCGGGTGGTATAGTGTCATGGGAGGCTAAAAAACAGAAAACAGTTTCTCTCTCTAGCATATAATCTGAATATATGGGCATAGCAGATGCTTGCAGGGAAGCAATTTATTTGCATAATTTGTTAAAGGAAATTATTAATGAGTCCTATACAATAACTATATTTAATGATAACAAGGGTGCACTTAGGCTGTCTTCAAGTAGTATTTTTAACAAAAGAACCGAGCATATTGATATTCGCTACCATTTTGTAAACAATGTATCGCTGATAAAATTATTGAACTAAGATATTTGGAAACAGCCGAAATGTCAGCAGACCTGTTCACTAATAATACCAAGCATTATTATTTTTTGCAGTTATTAGGAATAGAGGATGTAAAATCAATATAATTATTTTGTTTGATTTAGATGGGGTAAAATGTTATGGGCATCTATGTTATTTTGTTAAGTGGGGGTGTTAGTATTATATCAAAATACCGGTAATGCCATCTATTGTCTTATTAAGAACTATTGTACGATTGTATGACAATTATCTTCTAGAATAAATTCACTCACTCGCTCTCTGTCTAACAGTAAAAACGTTGTTTTATTTTATAATTGCAATATGTGTATATTTCTCACACTTAATAAGTCGTTTATGTATAGCTCTTTTATAGGGAAACGACAAGGTTTACAGTACATAACTTTTAGTAAGGTTCGTTGATTAAGATCTAGGAAACTATTTTCTGATGCTCCTTATTTCTATTTCTTGTATAAACCTCGGTATTTATATTTCTTGAGTTATGAAGGTCTACAACATACATTTATAACAATTATAATTTACTGATTCATTCATCTCTAAACTACTTCTAGAAACTTCAACTTTGGCATTTAAGGCAGGCATAATCAATGGAAAAACCATGAGAACTACAAATATTTAAAAAAATCGGCGCCGCTAAAGTTATTGTTATTGTTAATTTCAATTATTTTACTTAAATCTAACCGTAAAGTGGCGGTATAGGAATATTCACAACCCGATGTCATCTCGTGAGTGTCCTAATAGGCGACAAAGAGAACCTGAATTAGGAGATGGCCCGTTTACCAAGAGTGGCTGTAATGGTGATGGTACTTAAATCTTACCGCACCAATAAGTCGAAAAAGTTATTGATGCGGTTTATTTCAAGTATTGTTCTTCAAGCCGCTCCAATTAATCGACAAAATTATTAGTGCGGTTAATTTTAAATATTGTACTTGAAACTAATTGCACCGACAACTTTGTCTACATGTTATTCTTATTGTTTATATTCAAAAAGAAAGCAGTGAAGCATAATCACAAGTAATTATTAAGATTGAAGATATTTACTATGATCATAAGGATATTTTTTTAATTAATAATATTTCACCAAAATAAAATGTGTAAAGCCAGCCAATTACGGCACAACAAACGGTATTCGTGGTTTCGGTTTCATCGATAAGGGTTAGAATCTGTATGGGTAAAAAACTAGGCAATTTTTTTAAATCATAACGTGATCTATAGGAATATAAAATGTTTTTCAGTTTTCTTTGTTTTTCAGTTTGAAAAAATGTTACGTTCTGTGATATTGAATTTATAGCAATGCAAGTTTTATAATTCAACTAAATTGTAGTGTAAAACAATTTCAGATGTTCTTTAAAGCAACTAAAATAGTTTCGATTGTGTATTCGTTGTTCCTATCTTTGCTTGCTCCAATTTTAAAGTTTTAAAGCTTGACATCCGTGATTCATGAAAGATTTCTCGCAACCAACTTTACACCACTGGATCCGCAATAAAAATATATGTCAATGGAAAGCAGATGAGTGGATATTGGACAGTGGTGTACAGTGATGCCAATGATCATTTTGTAGTTTTGGCTTGGTTTTTGTGTTATTTGAAAGGTACGCCGCGATTTTCTTGCGTGAAGTCGATTGACACAAATGGCTCAGAGCCGTGCTCTGTAGCTTACTTTACTTTTTGGGCCTATGTTCAGTAGTGGACTTGCCATGGGCTGTAATGATGATAATAATGAAAAAACGAGTTTTTTTTTCAAGAATGTGTGCCTTTTTATATTGAATAAGCGTGGAAAACAAGCACACTGTTCAACTGATGACGAGTGTTTGCTGTGACTCATAGACATCTCCGTCTATCCTCGAGAAGATTCAAAATGTAGATGCGTTTTCACCCCAAAGAACTGATATGGAATGCCACGTTTCCAGTGAAAAGGGTCTAACTAAATGAAACAAAGCAATATTGAATTTTTATTTTACGCTGGTATTCCGTAAGAGCGTGGTCCTTCCGCGGTCGAGCCGATCCATTCGTGCTACTACAACCGTAATATAATTTTAGCATGGTTCTTCCGCGTGGTATTTGTAATGAAAGCCGAACGAACCTCAAATGTTTCAAGTTCGGTATCCAATTTCCACACTTAAACTAATTGTTTCACGTAATTAAAGTAAACTTTGAAAGCAACGAGGTTTTTGTTTACAAAACCCTTAATTATAGCATTTGTATAACAACAAGAGAAGAGTGTAAGGTGCCAATTAAAATTCAAATGATATTGCTTGTTTCTTTCCGGGTATTGGATTTATCGGTGAACATATCTATGATATCTGGGAACATTTCGGGAAAGTCGCTTCCATTTCCCAATTTTATTATAAGTTGGCGACTCGTCCCGGCTTCGGCTGGGTAGGATATATTAACGAAGCCAAATTTCGATTTAAGATAATTAAAGACCATTTATTTAAAAAAACATGTTTTTTTTTTCTCTAATTAATATAATCTAAAATACTCCAAGTTTTTCGGATAAAATATAGTCTATATCACTTCTGGCATTGCTCTGTATTCGTTTTCTGGAGTTTCATTAAAATCGGTTCTGCCATTCCAAAAATTAGCCTGGACATGCAGGCAGCCAAACAAACAAACTTTTTAAAAATAGTGATTCATGTCTTTAGGAATTCAAATAACCCCTTGAGCCTAATAAAAGTAAGTTGTTTTGATATTACAGACACATTTAAATTTTATTCATATCATCATCATTACAGGCCTTCACAAGTCCACTGCTGAACATAGGCCTCCCCCAAGGAATGCCACAAAGCACGGTCCTGAGCCACCTGCATCCATCGACTTCCTGCACATCTCACCAGGTCGTTACTCCATCTAGTGGGGGGACGCCCAACACTTCGCCTGCCGGTACGAGGCTGCCACTCGAGAACCTTTTTTTCCCATCGGTTGTCGGTTCTTCGAGCTATATGGCCAGCCCACTGCCACTTCAGCTTACTAATCCGTTGGGCTATGTCGGTCACTGTGGTTCTACGACGGATATCCTAATTTCTGAGTTTATCATCACTGGCAACACGCACTGGTTGTACAGTCCCGTTTTCAAGTTTTGAGGTATACCTGACGAGAAGACGTACCGTAAATTTCCGAACGCTGCCCAACCGAGTTGAATCCGTCGATTGACCTCTCGGTCGAAGTTGGATTTACCTAGTCGGACTATTTGTCCCAGGTAAACATACTCGTCAACAACTTCGATCTTAGTGCGCCCAACAACTACCGGCATAGGTGTGACATGGACATTAAACATGATCTTTGTTTTGTCCATGTTCATCTTAAGACCTATCCGTTGGGAAGCACTATTAAGGTTATTGAGCATAGTGCTTAGGTCTTCCAGCGATTCTGCCATAAAGACTATATCGTCGGCAAATCGCAGGTGAGTGATGTACTCGCCATTGATGTTGATACCGTATCCTTTCCAGTCCAGAAGCTTGAAAACGTCTTCCAATGCAGCGGTGAAGAGTTTCGGGGATATAACGTCACCCGTTTTACACCTCTCTGCAATTAGATAGGTTTTGTACTCTGGTTCTGTACTCGGATAGCCATCGTAGCTCTAGTGTACAAGCACTTCAGCACTTCGATATACCGACAGTCAACTTGGCACCGCTGAAGGGACTGCAGCACCGCCCATATTTCGATGGAATCAAAGGCTTTCTCATAGTCCAAATACGCCAGATATAGTGGCAAATTGTACTCCTCTGACTTCTGTACAATTTGCCGAAGGGTATGTTTGTGGTCTATGGTGCTAAAGCCTTTTCGGAAACCGGCTTGTTCGGGAGGCCGGAAGTCGTCAAGTATGCTCGCGAGACGATTCGTAATGAATCTCGAAAACAGCACGTGTGTAGTAGTCGGTGTGTAGTTTTTCAAATGAGCGTTATCGCCTTTCTTGAAGAACAAGACTACCGCACTTCTGCTCCACGCCTCCGGTGTAGTGCCTTCATGGAGGACGGAATTAAAGAGCTTCTGAAGGACTTCAAGTACCGGTTTTCCACCCGCTTTCAGAAGCTCCGCTGTAATTCCATCCTCGCCTGGGGCCTTGCCGTTTTTAAGGTGA